AAAATGTCCTTTTTCAATAAAAATATGAATATTCATTTTTTCACAATATTACCAAGCATAACAATTTTCATAATTAAAAACACTAATTTGACATCAGTTTTTTTTTTATTTCTTACAGTGAGTCAGAACATAATATCAGCAATGAGCGGGTAGACCATTTGAACCAATATTTTGTTCCATAAAGAACAATCACTAAACAGGCAAACAAAACTACAGGTTTGAAAATAAATGGAAGAAAATCACTGGATACAATATAATTCCTATCCCAGTATTCTGAAACTGTGGCATTGTCAACAAACTCCTTGTGGAATTATTGATACAAGATTTGAATGGAAAACTATTTGTGCATAATTCTAAATGAATTATGGATTTTATTTCAGAATTAAAACCTTTTCAGTTGGTGTTTGATACGAAAAAAGACATTCATCCTCAGTCTATTTGAAATGTCAATGGCATTAATTATGTCCTTTGAATGTTGAAGTTTTCCACATACTTAATAAGGTCAGACGACACGTTCCTCAAAAATATATAATATTACCTAAGAATTTGTCATTGAAGTATAGGTACTTAAACAAGTTTCCTCACAAAAAATTAGGGTACCTTACCAGGCATTTGGCCAAGATACCATATGGTCATATTTCTTATATAAACCGTATGGGTTATCTTCTAAATGGCCTTTAGTACAATTTTTGATGTGCCTATATTTAAAAAAAAAATGAAAACAATATAGAAATCAGTAGATAATGACAAATATGAAAAAATTGATATAATACCAAGAGATACAAAACATATATTTGAGGAAAGTGTCATCTGACCTTAATGTGATAAATACAATTTACAATTTAAAGAATTGTAAAAAAAAAAAAAAAAGAAAAATTTAAAAAAATAAAGATAATAATAAAAAATAGAAAAAGATATTTTAAATAAATAGTTTGAAAAGCTTGTCAAATCATATTTTTCTTTTTCAGCATTGAAAGAATAGGTGAATTCACACTTTTCAAAAGTTATGTCCTTTGGCCGCCATTTGAGGAAAAATCCAAAGAATCCTCACAGTACCCTTTATAGTTTTCTGGTTTGTAAATTTGTCATCTGAATGGAAGAATTATGTGCATCTTGTATAATGATTGCCCAAAGATGGGCCAACTCATATATATCAAAAGAAAAAAATTAAAACACAGTTGATTTATCTGAGCATGCCCAAAATATTTTGTAGCATAAAGAGGAGAAATGCCATTTCTTTCCTATTTGATTGACCTATCAAAGGGACATAACTATTGCAAAGTGTGCATTGGATTATAGTCCTTATATTCTCTATTTAGAAAAACAGTCAACAAAATACATTTAGATTTGAGCTCCTTAAAACATTTTGATGGTCATTTCCCAACATTTTATTGATTTGAATCCATTTATAGTGATACATGTATAATGAAACAGCCGCAACCAAAAACATCATGTCCATTTTGTCTCTGCTCTTATTTGTATTGTTGTATCGACTTTGAGACTGAATACTGTTCGCTATCTCCATATCCTTCATGTCACAATTTATATAAAAAAAAATAATTTATAAGGCAAGATCTGCTAGCACTAAATGTAGGTCAAATTTGTAGATCCTAATACTTATTTAAAACAAAATATACTATTCTATCGATTTGTTTTGCATATTACATAGCAATTTACAAGGTATCAACTGTTTTCGGGTTACATCAATTTTCCCTGGGATGAAAACATTCACTCCACGTTGGACAATATTTCAACCTTGGAGACTAATTAGGTCTTTCCACCTTTCCGTGGAAAGACCTGTTGAAATTGTTCTGTTTATTATTATTTTTCTTTATTATTTTTCCGCCGAATGGTTTTTTGTTTTACAAGTTATCGAATAGATTTATAGTTCAAAAGAATATACTCATTAAATGATTTTTCGTTTGACCCTGCGGATATGAACTTCTACCCCTTTCGGAGTTATCGCCCCTTTCGCAAAAATGATTATTATCGCTACTCCTCTGAAACCGTAAATCGTAGAGGAAAGAAACCTTCACCAATATCTTTAACTAACTGAGAGAACTTTAAACCCTTCTTTGCAAAATTATTCATGGCCCCTTCAATAAGTTACTGCCCCTGAAAGTTCTTGAATTTTACAAATAATTAAAAATTTTCAAAACAACAAGTCGTAGAAACATCGGTCCAACTGCATAAGATTTATTGACCTTTGACCTTAAAATTCATGTAAAGTTCAAAGGTCAAGGTCATTCCAAAACTAAGAAATTTAGCTCTTTTTATATCTCTTTTGTCTTGAAACATATACTTCAAGTCTATGCATCCTTTATATGTACTCTTAAAACTGTTTCAAAGATTTCATTCTTGTCCACTAATATTAAACACTTTAATGGTTATTGCCCCTTGTGCTAAAAACCTTGTTATCGCTACTCCTCCTAAAACGTAGACCGTAGAGACACCAAACTTTCATTAATGTCTTCAGGGTCTTTAGGGCTAACTTCACTGCATAGCTGTTAAAGGATCAGATGACCCCTTATATGGGTTATTGCCCTTTAACTTCTTTGTACTTACTATTAAACCTTATAACTTAAATATTTGCTCAAAGTCAAAGGTCAAGGTCATTCTTATTTTTTTTAATTTTCATTTTTTCTATGCTTTAGGAGAGATTTGTTTTTTTTCATGGAATTTAATTTTAAGGAGTCAGATATAAAACAAATTTGAAATTCAAAGAAGGTGGAAAAATCTCTTATTGTTCTGTGAACAATAAGTCTCCTAGTTATAAAAATAAAGTTGCCCTCAACAGTCAACATCATTCAATATTTGTTTTGGTTCATGTATTTTAGTGGCACTTGATCAAAGGAGGAAGAAGAAGTATTCAGAGCATGAAACAGTGCCAATCTACACTATTCATGTAGACATTCCATGATTCCCGTCTTCGCCCAATCACTTTATTTCATCAATTTCACTGAAACGTTAGAAACAATCGAACGGTATTTTTTAAAAATAATAATTATTCAATGACAATTGAAAATACCTCGTTGAATCAGCTAAATTGATTTAGCATTGTTGTGATTGTAACAATTTTGAGTTTGAGTTGTAAACTAGAAATAACTTGTACACTGTAATATACAAAACTCTATCGTGAAATCGTAAGATTTCCGGATTGCTCGCGAAAACTCTGGCGAAAAGCATTATCCACCGTAATACTAAAGAAATAAAGCAACGATGAAAATATTTTAGTGTTAATTGACAAAATCGAGTGAATAAAAAACTAAAAACAAGTATTTTAAAATTACAAGCTCATTATTGTAACATTTCGTAACAACTGCGAGCAGAGGAAATTCGGGTCGAGGAATTCGAAAGAAGATTACTCTAAAATTGAATACTAACTTTATAATTTTTTTTTCAGCAATTTGTAAAACAAGCAAATAACTTTAAATATTGCATAAGAAATTAAACTTTTAATTATTCCATAATTGCTTAAAATTACATTGTACATATATATTAACCCATTTCCCAAATAAATTGATATTATTTTGAAAAGTCAAAATAATTTGTCTTTTTAGATTTTTTCCTTGTACTTTTTTCTTTTAGAAATTAAATTCCATTCCTGTTGAAGACAATATTCCATATACTTTTTTATTTTCTGATGTTATTTTGGGAATTCTGAATTTTTAAAAATTGCTTATAAAAATATCATTTTTTCATACAGAGTTACTCCCCTTATTTTGGCGTGTACAATTTTTAGATTTACGCACTAGAATCTTTTCTAATGTATTTTAGTAAAATATAAAAAAGTTCTTCTTTGAATCTGTGTACTAGTATGTGTTTTAGAGTTTTAATTACTCTGAAATTAGGACCCGAAAGTCCCATACTCCCTTAACATAACTAAAAAATACTTGCAAAATATACTTACCACGGTCTGTTTTCCGTGCAATAATATAACTGAAATGTTGCAGTTATCTTGCTGAAAGTTATAGTCACATGCTGTTGCAAAATTATCAAATCTGCCCTGTCCCTTACAACGTGTTACACATTGGATAGCTCTGCCGGGAATACCTAGCTATTGTTACCTGTCCTGTCGGCCAGAATTCTGCAAGGAATTATGGGGATTCTCCAAAGAGGTGCCCGAAGGACAAAACAAGGGGTATCCTATAGATTCAAACTAGTGATTGTTACAGAGGGACGACAGAACTACAAGAAACTAGTTAAGGCTCTCCAAGATAGATTTGCGCCTTTGAACCAGACAGAGCTTTACAGAGCACAGCTCAGAGAAAGAAGACAAAAGGCGTCTAAGAGTTTGCCAGATATGGGTCAAGATATAAGAAGACTTATAAATTTAGCCTAGCCAACGGCATCCGATGACGTCCGGGAAATTCTCGCTACAGAACAATTCTTAAATGGGCTGCACAACTCTGAGATGCGTCTCAAGACTAAGCAAGCGAGACCCATAAGCCTGATGAAGAATTGAGAACTAGAAGCATACAACAGAGCAGAGAGCCATCGCATAGATACTGTCAGGTTGATGAGTGAGAATACTGAAGACTCGTCTAAGACTTCGAAACTCGATCATTTCATAGAAACAGTTGAAAAGAGCATGCGCTCATTACAGCGTGATATGAGGGTATTAAAACAGTGGAAGTTTCAGTCACAAAGTCAGACACGTATGCCTCGTCCAGCGACACATACAGACGATAAAATTTGAGCTTGAAAATACTACAAGTATGGATCCGATAACCAAAACAAGTTTAGGAACGAGACCAATACTAAGAAGGTTCAGCATGAGAGGCCTGGTACAGTTCCAAAGAAAGATCATAAGTCAGAGGATGAGTACTCTTGGTCTGTAAGCTCTATATATGGGAGAGGGGTTTATGTAACTGTCTGTATCCATGGAACGGATGCATACATGTTGATCGATACAGGTGCTACAGTTTCTTTGCTGTCTACATAAAAATATTGCAAGGACAGGAAACAATGCATTAAACGAAATCAAGAGAGATGTATAAATGGCAAGCGGAACTACACTTAAAGTGTTGGGGAAGGTTCCAGTGAATTTCAAGCTTGATGATGTTGAGTTGCAACATGAGATGATTATAGCTGATATTACGGTGGACGGAATACAAGGTCTTGATTTCTTGGTAAAGCATGAGTCAATAATTGACATGCATGGGTATCATATATCAATCTCAGGCATAGAATACCCTATTCAGCTTGAGGGGTCAGCGAGCTCATATAAGGTACCCATTGTACATAGGATTACTGTACCACCTAGATTAGAAGTGATGGTGGAAGGATAGATATGTGCTAGTTCGGATGGAACTTTTTAAGCTAAAATTGGTTTGATAGAGCCAGCTGAGAAACTTCTTAATTCAGATTCTTGCTTGCTGACTTAAACACTTGTCCAGAGACAGGGCATGGTTCCCATCCGTATCATGAATATATCAGATGATAGTAGAACCATGTACCCAGGAACTGGTGTAGGGAAATTTACTTCAGTTGATGAGGTTGTGTCTTTGATGACAGAGAAAAATGATCATCTTGATGGGAATAGTAACATGCCATTGTATTTGGAAGAGCTCTATAAAAGCAATACTTGTCATTCAGACGAGGAAGATAGACAGAAAGCCGAAAGTCTGTTATTGAAGTTTACATCACTGTTTTCAAAGACTGACGAAGATATTGGACGAACTGCTTAAGTCAGGCACAAAATAGAGACGTGTACAAACGCACCTATTACGCAGGCACCTAAGCGTCTCCCATTTCACATTCATGAGGAGGTCAAAGAACATGTATCTGATAGGTTACGAAGAGGCATATTATAGAACCATCACATAGCCTTTGGTCTTCATCAATTGTACTAGTGAAAAAGAAAGATGGGTCTACAAGATTTTGTGTAGACAACAGGTGCTTAAGCAGTGTTACAACAAAAGACGCAGACCGATTACCTCGCATTGACGAGTCCCTAAACCAGCTGCGTGGTGCCAAGTGGTTTAGTACGTTGGACTAAAATGCTGGTTAATGGCAAGTTGAGCTAGAGCCACATGATAAGGCTAATACAGCATTTGTTACTCGTCAAGGTCTGTATGAGTTTAATGTCATGCCATTCGGGCGTTGTAATGCCCCAGCTATATTCGAACGCTTGATGGAGTCTGTACTGGCTGGTTTACAATGGCAGATATGTATTATATACCTAGACGTTGTCATCGTATACGGAAAGACATTTGACGAAATGCTGAAAACCTAGAGCAGGTCTTAGAGAAGCTTCTGGCAGCTGGACTGAAGCTAAAAACTAGGAAGTGTACTTTGTTTGCTCAAAAAGTTAAGTACTTGGGACATATAATCTCTAAACAAGGGATTCAGACTGATCCTGAAAAGATTGAGATTGTAAAACATTGGCCTGTACCAATGAGCAAGACCCAGGTAAGATCATTTATTGGTCTTTCTAGCTACTATAGAAAGTTTATGGCCAATTACGCTTACATTGCTCTCACTTTACATAAACTCACAGAGGCAAATGTTTTCATTTAAATGGAGTGATGAGTGCCAGACTGGTTTGATCTTCCTAAGAGCCACTTGACTTCTGCACCGATTCTTACGCACCCAGACTTTACTAAGCCTTTTACACTAGACACAGACGCGAGTCAGTATGCCATGGGCACCGTTCTCTCACAGATTCAAAATGGCCGAGAGAGGGTCGTGGCATACGCAAGCAAAGTTCTCAGCAAGTCAGAAAGAAAACATTGCGTAACCCGTAAAGAGCTTCTGGCTGTGGTAACATTTATTAAGAATTTTCGACCATTCTTGTATGGACATAAGTTCTTGGTCAGGACTGATCACAGCTCGCTAAAATGGTTACTCAGATTTAAAAATCAAAAGGGTCAGTTGGGTCGTTGGCTCGAGGTCATATCAACTTATGACATTGAGATAGAGCATCGGGCTGGAAAACTGCACGGGAATGCAGATGGACTCAGTGGAGTACCGTGTAGCCAGTGTGGATATTTTGATGGCTGGGACAAGATGGATATGTCTGTGGAACATGCAAGAGTGGTAGAGGACGAAGCTCAAACAAATACAGAAGTATCTGACTGGGTTACGGTATAAGAGATCTAAGACTTGCCAAGTCTTGGTTGCATAACGAGGTACGTTCTGAGTTTAGTAATATATCTTCCGAAGAGTATTTTGTGAAATCACTTTGGGCTCAGTGGAGTAGGCTTACAGTAAAAGCTAACCTGCTGTGTAGAATCTGGGAGATAGAAGATAATGTGTGACCACATATCAGATAGTAGTTCCTCTATCCAACACAAGATTGATTTTAGAGCAGATGCACGATGCAAAGACTTCAGCTCACTTCGGGGTGACAAAGACACTCAATAAGATAAGGCAAAGCTATAATTGGCCCGGTCTACAGAGTGATGTGAGAAGCTACGTGTCAGGTTGCGACATATGTTCCAGAAGGAAAGCTCCTCAAAAATCGAAAAAAGCCCCTATGCAGCCTCTACAAGTTGGATTTCCATTTGAAAAGATAGCTACTGATATCCTAGGTGAGATTCCTCAGACAGAAAACGGAAACAGGTACATCTTAATCATCTCGGATTACTTCACCAAATGAACTGAGGCGTTTCCTATGCAAAATATGGAAGCAAAAACGGTAGCTAAACTTATCACCAACGAAGTAATCTGTAGATTTGGATGCCCAAGTATCATACATTCCGACCAGGGAAGATAGTATGAGAGTTTTTTACTGAAGTGTATGGACTTCTCCAGATCCGGAAGACAAGAACCACACAATACCATCCGCAGTCTGATGGTATGGTCAAACGTTTGAACAAAACGATAGCCACTATGCTTAGTGCCTATGTGGATGAAAACCACCGGGACTGGGATGAAAGCATTCCATACGTGATGATGGCGTATAGGTCATCTCAGCATGAATCCACAGGCTACAGCCCTAACACGCTCATGCTAGGTAGAGAGGTTACGAGACCTCTACATATCATGTATAAGATACCTACCTCTTAGAAAGAAGTTCCCAAGAATGAATGGGCATGGACCTTGAAAGATCGGATGGATAGAGCACATTTTTTGGTCAGACGTAATGCTGAAAGTGCAATGTTTAGGCAGAAACATTACTTTGACATGAAACTGTCATATAAAAAGTTCAAAGAAGATCTAGTTTACATATACTTCCCTCAAGGAAAATCTGCATGCTCGACAAAGTTCACGTCTTACTGGCGAGGGCCATTCAAGATATTGGCTAAGAAGTTTGGTAGAAAGCAAACTGAGGTCTCAATGGAAAAGAGCAAATTGTACATTGTGATTGCCTCAAAGCTTGCAAATCACAAGTTCTGAGAGGTGAAGACAAACAGATTCGCCAGGATACCGATACAGCTGCCAATAGAATTACCACCAAATGGTCAGTTTAAGACTGAGATTATTGATGACAATCAGTCAAAGATAGAAGTCAAGGATGAGATGGCTTAGAACGTTAAGCCCAAGCGAGGAAGACGTGCTCCAGCATGGATGAAGGACTATGTCCCTGAATAATTTGCATTATAAAGTATTAAAAATCAGATGTATATAGCTATTTGGTTTTCTGATTGGCCTCAAATTTAATGTCTTGTATAGTAGTTATATCTGCATAAAAGTTGTTTAATGTCGGAGCATTAGATATTTGTTGAGAAAATTATGTATGCGCTGTCCTAAAATAAAATATTTAATTTTTGCAGAACAAAGATGGTAAACACCTAGCTAACACCCAGAGAGGCAAAAGAGATATGCCCAGTATGTTCTGTAGAATTGGACAGTAAAGAAGCTTGGACAAAGCATGTGGTTAATTGTGCCAGTAGCATGTTATTATGTAGAACATGCCAAGTGTCTTTCAAGAAAAAGGAGTACTTGGAGAAGCATATGCGGACTAAACATCCTGATGCGACTTCACAATCATCAAAGGATGTAGCCTAAAGTAAGGATAGTGACTGGGATGTGGATCCAGAAGTTCAGATTGGGGAAGATGCTATCGAAATCTATGAGAAGAAAACAGAGGCTGGACCATCTTTTTCCAATAGTGATGATTTAATCACAGGAATCGAATTGTCCGCAAGAGAAAAGCTCTAAGTCCTGTCCAAATGTCCAGGGAGAAGGGTGTTGATAGAGCTGTCCAGACGACTTTTAATTTACCTGACCCAGAAGAAAGGCAAGTTCAATTTGTGGATAAGGGCATCAGACAGTGGGATATCAGAGACGGGTGAAAGAGGTGACTGTAATTAAGTACAGTGAGAACGGACAGAGAATCAAGCGCATCAGAGAAAGCGAAGAAATTTTGATATGTAAATGGTGAATAGTCATCAGAGAACATTTATGAACATTAAGATCAATTTCATGTTTGCTAATTTTCATGTTTGCTAGTTAATGATTCATAAAAATAACAAAGATGTTAATCTTGTTATTTTTAATCTTTTCAAGATACAAAATCAGTCTGTTTTATCCGTAAAATCGCTATATCAGACTCATATAGGAATAAAAAATTACAAGGAATGATTAAGAATTTTTCTGAGGATTACACAACACATATTATTATCCTTTTAGAATTATACAGTCAATCTGATTGGTTTAAAACATGTCACGTGAGGTGAGACAATTCGTGATGTCTCCTTCAAGCGCAGGGTGACAACTGTTGTCACCCTCAAGATGACAGTGAAATAGCGTACATGTAAGCGAGCAAGAAGGATTACAACTGTGTTGTCGCCCTTTGAATGAAATTACAGTGGTTTAAGCGAAATAACTCTTATTCACAGTATGATTATACCAATCTCCAATGCAGAGTTGTCGTTCGTTCCTCTCTCAGATACCTCTGCAATGGGCTCACGTCAAGATTTTTATAAAACATATTTGCAAGATTGTTTCAAATTAAATTTATTGTTCTGAATTAATTCAGTAAATATCTATCTCAGAAGTCAGACATAAACATAACAATTACATTATATTGAATTAAAACAGACGCACTATTTCTTGTGTTTATCACTGTGATATACATGAGCCAACGACAAGGGTGAATATACACGAGCCGACCACAGAGGTGAATGTATGAGCCGATGGTAGAGATTGTTTTATACATGTACAATTGCTAATATGCGGGATCGGTAAACAATAAATTCTTATGATGACCTCAGAGTTGTCTTTTGACATATTTTAGAAGATCGGAACAGAGTAAGAGAACACAAGAGGTTTGATTTCTATTTTCTACTCTATCTAATTGATAGTTAGATTCTTCAGGATAATAAAACTATTATGGCCTGTACAGAAGGGAAACACTACCAGTTATCAGGTCTGAGTAGGGTTGTCACCCTCGGGCGCAAGCGCCCTCGGGTGACAACCGTACTCAGATATGAAATAAATGTTTCAGTGCATATGTAGTGAGTTCATACACATATATGCTTCTTAAGATCTTGGGTAAAACAAAAAAAGATTGATAGTGAATTTAAATGAGATATTAACCTAGAATTCCTAGTAGGGTCCTCATGAACACATGTTTATCTTCACAATATAAATGTAAGATTTTTATACTATCTATGAATTAGTAATATTGTATTTTCTGTGATTAGAAATCCAAAAACTAAAGCTTGTCGGAGTCCATTTTGAAAACAGAGAAGAAACATCCTCTAAAAATACAAAATCCACAAATTTCTTTCCAATTTGGACGTCTGAATTCGATGAAGCAAACACCTGTGTAGTACTCGTGACAGAGATACCAAGCGAATCATCATCTTCCCTTAGAAGTAAGTTCATAAGAAATATAACCTTGTAATCAGTATGTAAGATTGTGTAATTTTTTCTTAGTATTCTGTATTTATTGCATTAAATTCCATAATCTATTACAGAGAGTCTTCGTAATCCTACCAGCGATTCCAGACTGATATTTATCTTAAAATGCGCAGCATTACTTTGCAAAGATTTTACCTTTCTATGGAATACCACCGTAGCAAAATCTGCGCTGAGAAGGATTGAATTATTCTTGACCGAGAAAAAACATTCACTGGAGGATTACAAGAAAGTCGTTTCTATCTTAGAACCGTGTTTCACATACGTATCCACTTCCAGTTACTTAAAATTATTGTCTGATGCCGCGCGGCTAGAGACTCTATGGAATTTGTTTAACGACTGCCGGTCTCCAATGGAAGTCTTGAAATACATTGCTGATCAAAGATTGTCGACACTCGCAAAGAAATACTTCCGATTAGAAGGATACAGTCAACATGTTGATGAAACTTACATTCTATTGCCGCGCTCTGTGGCAAATATCTACCTGAAAAGTTTTGAGGATAACATTTTTAAAAATTTAGAAATTTCTTGGGAGTCAAATGGTTATTATCTATATCATTTCTCGTGAAACAGAGGTTTCTTATTAGACTTTTCCGAGTAGCGCTGACTTTTACAGTTGATAGCTTACTTTTACACCACAACAATATAACAATGGAAGCTATTTTATACCATATTAATATTTAGCTAAACATTTAATTTCACCAAAATAATGGGTTATTTCAAAGTTTAAATCATTTGTCTTTAAGGAAAACGACAACCACCCTACCCTCAACTCCCGGCATTTACATGTTATTGCACCTAATAACCTTTGACACTAGAAAGGTTTTCTTATCTATTATCACTTTTTTAATTTCGTACATGACACTGGTTTAATTGTCAAGTAAACCGTCAATTGTAAATGTCAGTGCTTCTCACAAAATTCCATAACCCGTCTTCCGCTGTCTGTCTGCCAATTTGGTTACTTTTATAATTTTCTCTACTTTTCTTAAAAAACAACTATCAGTAGTTCTGATTTGACCTCATGTTGACATTTTGAAATTCTTGAATAATTCTTCTACGTCTTTAAAAAGATATCCAACCTTTTCAAAAGAAACTATTTTTTTTAGAATTGGCTTACAAAGTCATTTTTCCAGATATTTCGAAAGTAAAGCGTAAAAAATAATAACAACTATACTGTGTTAACTATAATTAAGCATAAAGTCTAGGTAGCAAATTTGATTTTAAAAAATGCAGATAATACGCTGTAAATTCTAAGGAACATTATATCAAAATTTCGGGATATATTTTCTCCTGATTTTCTAGTAAGAATTTTTATGGTGGTCGCGAGATTACTGCATAAGCTTCTTCAAATCATGACTCCAGTTGTTAGGTTTGTACCACAATGAGGATCAAAATAATAACAGTTATATTTTAAAATAAATACATGTATTTTAATTGTTTCTCAAGAACAGAAAAGCCTACGTTACGCAGTGGTTAAATTTGCAGAGTAATTTAAATGGAGTAGGTCCTTATGTCCGAGTTCGAATTCCACTGCAAGATGTCACTCCGGTCCTTCGAATGAGACCGTATGAAGCTCGCCTCGTGTCGCAGTAGGTGTTGACACAATAAAGATCCCTCACTACTCAATTGCAAGTATAGGTCTAAAGATCAAAGTTGGGTAACAGCAAAATAGGCCCCTTATTTGATATAAAGAAGAAAGCACATGTAAAATGTGATACTGATTTTATACACAAGATTCGTCCTATACTAGTGTATGAAATGTATAAATTTGGTAGATAGGCAAGCTTTTGCTCTGTGTTTTTCTGAAAATAACATGCTGTAAAATCGATCAGTATTTGCATAGAAATCAGAATATCTGGAAATTGACATATTTTCCGACCTTCCATTAACCTCCGCGTATCCCACACCTTAGAGCCAATACTCGTTTTCAGACCGGCCAATGGCGAGATGTTGTCAATAAAAACCTGTTGCATCATTCCAAAAGACGCTCCATATCACTGGCCAAAATTGATTTTAGCCTATTCTGTCCTTTGCAGATCTCTACTGCGACGTCGTTTTGATCTGTGGAAAAAAAATATTCAAAACAATGTTTAAAAACAAAGAAAAACAGCAAGGTCATGATGATTGATCGATTGATTGTATTTTGTTTTATGTCCCACTTTTTCCACTCATACAAAGACATCACTATATCATACTGAAGGGCTTCAAATTTTGACCGTCACTCGACAATCAGTTCCGTTAAGCAGTGAGGAATCTTCGTCGTGTCAACGCCTGTCCTGACACGGGGCCTTGGTTTTTAAGCTCTTGTCAGAAGGACCCGCAAATTTCACTTCAAAATGCCGAGCGCATGGCGAAGGAAATGTTCGACTTTGGTCAGTTTCGGCCGAGATTCGAGCTCACGACCTCCTGATTAAGTAACGAGCTCTCTATCTGAAGAGATACCATGAACGGTAAATCATGATGAGTTATTTCAATACAGAATTTTCTAAAGGTAGTGCAGTTTCATTTTTGCTCAAATAATGACGCCTTTGGTTTTGTTCGGGCATATTTTAATCAAAGGATTACATTTGGAAGAACAAAAAAATGTCATTTTATATATTTCATCAACAGCTCAACCACGAATAATCATACAGTATCTGTGTCGAAATAATTTCAGGTAGTTTTGTTTTCTTTTTTAGGGGGTGGGGGGATACAGCCATGATAGCAGACAAAAGTTTTAAATAGGACAAAAATAGGCGAAAATACTACTGAAAAAAGAGCAGTGCCAAAAAAAAAAAAAATTAAAGCTTGTGTTCCATTAGTCTCTTTAATTATTTTTTTCCCTATGTAAAATTATTTCTGATATCTAGTCACTAGATTAATGAAACAAAATGCACGGTGTATTTTTCCAGATTCCTTTGACCAGAGGACTTGTACGGAGTTTGAGTGTTTTGTTCACTACACACTTTACAGAGATCTTCCTACATCTGAAACCGTATTGGAATATTTCCGAACGTCTGGTTATGTGAAGGAAGCTGAGGAAGAATGTATAATTGTACCTTCTGAATACGATGAGAAAGTCATAGAGAAGATGGACGTGGATATTATTGTTCATAAAACATTTAAAGATGATTCAATTCATGAAGCTGTTGTAAAACTTTGTGAGTATTATAAGAATTTAACAATACAATAGATTTGAAGTATATCATTGAGGGGGTTAGCAATATCCCAGTTTCAAAAGGCCAGGACTATTTCCTGAGGCTAGCTTTCGGAGCGGGGATTATCTCAGTTGACTAACACACAGGGTTAAGTTCAATATCATCTTATACCAATACAATAAAAAATCTAGAGGACTAAGGATAACCAAAAAATAGATTCCGATGCAGGAATTAGCTAATTTGACTAACGCACGGGGATTAGACCATTCATAGCTATTTTGGGGGAATAATTAACATTTAACTTTCTTATTTTTATATAGGAAAAAATCAGTAGAGGTATAATAAATAAACTCATAACAAACTACTGGATAACCTAAAATCCTTATTACCCTTGATCGAAGTATGTGGTTCACAGACAACATAGATTCAAGGGGCATTTCAGTGAACGTGAATAAATGTTACCGATGAAGATATTTTTGCGATTCTTTTTTTTCTGTAATGATATTGATTCTTCCGTTGTATCTCGAAGACACCATATACACATATATTTTTATCGTTTATATAAATATTAAGATTGATTTTAAATTTATTTTATGCCCTCTGTTATGCAAAATATGTGCATGGTTTTAAACAAAATAATACTGCATGCATATTTCAAAGAACCTAGTTAAGATTTAAATTAATATCAGATTTACTTTTCCTGTAAAACAATAATTTCAAATGACTTTGATTCCATTTTTTGCCAATTGGATAATTTCTTTTTTTAACAAATTTTTTTTTTTTTCTTTTTTTTTTTTTTTTTTTTTTAGAAAATTGTATTTTTGCGAACAAAGAGACATTAAAGATTAAGATGATCGCTACACCTTCACACCTTCAGTCTCTGGTCCATATGTACATTTTAAGAACATTTCTTTAAACATTTAAAAGAAAATAAATTGTACAATGAACTATTGTTTTTAGGTATTTTAATCATTTATTTCAAGATTTTCAGTACAAAATCTTTTTTTTTTTATTTATTTTACGGACACGTAATCACGTACCGACCCACTTCAATTCCAATAAAAGTTTATAAACTTGTTATTTATTACTGGTATATTCATTTCAGATGGGCAATTAAATATACTTGGATATAAATGTTGTACTAACCGGTCGCCGTAGATTTCCAACAAAAGCAAGCAGCGTGTAATTCAGAAAATTGACATTATTTTTCACGTGATTTTACTGATTTTAGAAAAATGATTTTTAGTGCAAAAAGGTCAAATTATTGACTATGCAAAGTAATTTTCAATAATATTTGTTGTCAGGTTTTTTTAATTGATTATTGAGAACAAAAAAAAAATGGCTATGTTTGATACAATAATTTATTTGGATAAAAAATATTAAATGAAACTTATGGAAATAACCACAAGACGAAAGACCACCTTTAAGCAATCGCTTAATGGTAGCTTAATGGTTAAGCCACCATTAAGACACCATTAAGCTGCAACTTACAGGTGCTTAATGTCCAAACTTCATTAAGCTACCATTAAGCCACCATTAAGCTAAACTTAATGGTGACTTAATGGTCAAACTTAAACTTTTAAGCATCTTATTTAGAATCTTTGAACTAACTTTTAATTGTTTTAATATCATTTACGCAAAATCTATTCCAACTCATAATTTTGTCTCGATCGTAATTCACGCTTCCACATCGTCACGGGTGACGCAGTTGCTATCTCCGCACAGCCAATCAGAATCGCGGAAAAAATTGTCAGCCATTAACTCCGACAAAACACAGCTGTCGGATGCTGCGAGGGGACATCGTTAAACGTCTTATCCGCTATATAGCAGAAAATTGTGAAGTCCCATGAATAGGATAGATGTAATTATGATACGAGGTACCCGGAAAGAATACGCAAGGTGAGATTTATTCATTTTCTAAGTCCAAATCACGGAAAAACAAGTGTTTACATTGCATAAACAGCTGATCAAGTCATGTCATGTGTAAGACCGAAAAGGACTGTTCTTTAAAAAATAAGTCTTTCAATTATATTTATGTCAAGGTACTGATAATGTAAGTGGAAATTAAAGCGAGATATATGAATTGAGTAATATCACGGACAATATGGTGATCTACATACTTTGAACTTAGGCAGTTATATATGTACTCGGACTATACATGGACTTTGTGGACTGTTCAGATGTGATCTCGGTGAACTGAATATATATTCTCGAAAAAGAGAATGCTGCAAAAATATAGATTGTATATATAAGTGCAGTATATAGCTTTTTGAATCTTAATTGTAGGTCATGACATACTGACTGTACACAACAAGATAGGCAATATAGTCATCAAGAAAAGCAGGCTACTATCAAGGTGAGTTGTAAGTTTACTGATTTTATGTAAAGGAAAAGTATTTGTTATTGAAAAAAAAACTTAGTTACATGTATAAAGCCAGTATATTACTAAAGTGAAAATATCACTTTACATGTATAGTGCTTAACTTTGAAAACTTAATTAAATTTAAAATGAGTAAAATGACACATGAATTGTTATTTTTGTTATATACATTATTAAATTGATACTTATAATTTAGATTTGGTGAAAAAAATTTAAATAAAGATAGTTCATTGCATATTTGTTTTTAAAAAGCATTAAAAAATTTCAAGTCAAATGTATTTGTATATTTAAAATATTGCATGAATTCAGGATCAATGATGAAGCTCAAAGGAAACACAAGAATCTTCACCCGGGTGTCATAACAGAATGTCCCAGTGAATTTCAACAGGCTACATCTTCGGTTAGTTGGGTAATTTAATTACAAATGATAATGGAGAAAGTATTCTTGACATCAATGTTTTTATGTTGTTAAAGACCCAAGAAAATCAACACTTGAAGTAATTTTTGAAGCAAATCAATACTTCTGAAATTTCTTTTTTTTAGTTCATTAAGCACCCTTTTTAGATTTTGGTAAATTAATTTATTTGTGTTATAGATCTAAACTCTCTTTTTCTTCTTTTTATAGAAACTTTGGATTAATTTTACCAACATCAGCTGTGCAGGTCAAGATTTAGAACATCATCACCAGAGTGAATCTTCAGTCTACAGAGCAGACTAAATAATCTTCTACAATCCAAGCTTGAGAAAAACTTGAGACCCCCTTGCCACTAAGAAAACAACAGATGAAAAAAAAATACATCAGAATCGTTTGTGTTTTATTTATACTACATGTAAGACAAAACATTATTGAAAATTTTTAGATTTTTTGACATCAGAACATTGAAAAAAGAGGTAATACTGAGGATGCTCAGCTAAGGCACAATTTTGGATTAATGGATGTAGCATTAATGGTGTATCAGTGATTAATCATATACCTGTGTTGACTTTATGTGTATATTATGTTTTAAAAGATAAGTGACTGTGATTCTGTTGCTGACAGCAGGAGAAGCATTTAACTCAGGAATTCTAATTGCATAAGACATGTTTATTTATGTAATATCACGGTATCCACAATATTCTGAATACAGTTTATATAAGTTCATAAATGTGAAGAATTTCACACTGTCACTGTTTGATTCTGATACATGGATATATAATCCTGAGATAGGTAAAATGATTTTTAAAGTGACATTAAGATGCATTACAATGAGAAAGAAATGTTCCAACACCTAGCCCTTAACATGTGTGTCACTGCCTAGGAAAATTTGATAGAAGGAAAAAATACTTTAACATAAACAAATATATTTTTACTGATCTTAGAAATGCACAGTATCATTAAACTTTTCTGTATACCTATACCTTGTCTTTATTTCTTCTGCACAAATTGTTTCTTTACATTGCTTATTTTGTATTTAACATCTGTGATATTGTTTTTAAATACAGCATGTATTTGAGGCAAACATTGAAAATTTTCACCCCAAGAAAAACCATGGTCAACTTAGCGCGCAGCTGAGGTTGACCATGGCTTTTGAGGGAAGAATATATTCAATGTTACCCTCAACTGCAAGCTGTATTTATAATTAAGGCCCAAAGAAAAAATACTCGTTTCCTGTCCCCTGACCAAAAAAAATAGGGTAGGTAGGTAGGAAAAAAAATATTTTGAGAAAAAAAAAATATTTTCAAATCTCAATGAATACCGAACATATAGCATATATTAACAAGAAAAAAGTATGTGAACAGTTTAAAAAGCATGTTTGTTAATAAAGATTTATAAGGTAAAGGTATCCTGTACACTTGTGATGTATTAGTTCTGTAATATATTGTAAATATTGTTGGTTGACTTAAATATTTCAGGAAAATGGCCCTCAAAAAATGAAAATGTAAAAAAAAATTTTAGGGTGGGAGGGTAAAATCTAGGGTAGGTCTGGTGACAGGAAACGAGTATATTTCAGTTTGGTGTAACATACTGAATGTTCGATACGAAGAAATGTAAACTGAACTGTGCATGCATAAATTCTGCGCATGTATATATTTCTTGGAATATCACCCATCAAGCAATGTTTACTGTTGCTACGCTGGAGGGCGTACTTTCATTGTTCAGAGGGAAAAGTGTTTTTTTTTAAAAACAATTTACGAAAGTATATCATTGATTGACACAGAGTTGTTTTGATTTCTCTTTGAGTATGTCACTGCTGATGAAGAAACCATGATTGTTCTGCAAGGAAATCCTTTAAACCTAGCAGTTTGAAATACTGAATGTAACTTATTTGTTCAACAGTATGTGAATATTTTCCTTACTCCCTTAAGTTCGTGCTTCACCTTTAGTTTTAGAATAGATGGAGTACACTGAATGTTTTGATCATTAAACATTCTTTCACAATATAACTTCCAAATATGTAAAACAGTAAAACTAAGGAACGAAGGATTTCTGAAATGAATGTCACAAAGTTTATGCCTAGAACCATAAACTTAAAAAAAAGTCAAAACTTGAATTTTGAATTAAAATCTTCAGTAATATTCTAAACATGACAAAAACCCTGCAAGTTTATTTAGTACAACATCTGAAATTTAAAAAAAAATGTTTTCTGTTTAAATGATCTTAAGGACCCTCTATATACTGCCCCCAAGCAAAATATTAATTGTTTGACATTTAGAAAATGTATTGTATGAAGGTGGAAATGTTGAGTATATCCATTTCATTTTCAGCATAGGGTACCTTGCATAATCCCACAGAAAATAAAGATGATGAATACAGATGAACAGAAATCACTATTGTTAACTTGTGTGAGAAAAACATGTGCATAAATTAAAGTATTCATTTAATTTATCTTGGCCTATTAAAATGTTACAAATGCTTGAGTTTATTACAAATTGAATAAAACACTGTAGATTCCATTCTTTTTAATTTTATCTAGGACTAGGGGTATCAAGTATACTCTAATTTCAATATATACAAATACCACAGAATCAGACCTTTTAGTAAGCAGTGTAGAGGTGATTTTAAAGCAAATATTTAAAATGATTAAATAAAAAATATCAGCTTGTTGAAATCAAAATTATTGTGTGATGAAGTGATGGGTGAATAAATGCTAGTAACACATTAAAATCCTAGACCTACATTCATGATTGCAACAACAAAAAAATAATTTTGTCCAACGTCGGTAACAAAGAATTTAATATTGGAGGAAATCTTGGCGGTTAAAGGCAATGCTTACTAAACAAAATTTGTCGATTTTATTATAAACAATGAAGATTGGTCTACGTTTCCGATCTAACTACTCTGTAGAACACTGTCTGGCGATTAGTTAAACTGACCTAGCTTCTAGTCGGTTGCATACGGATCGAGCGGTTAAAATCACTCTTCCTTCCCATCTCTACTTACTAAAATTTTGTGTTTGAAACCTCAGTTAAACTTATATGACTTCGACAAACATTTCTGTAAAAATTTCTGTGCAAACAAGCTCATTGAACTTTTTTTCCACGCGATTCTGTAAATCGCATCCATGTTGTTTACGTTAGGTTGTTGGAGGCTGCAACTACGTGACTTTCGTTGCAATCGGTGGGCGGAGCGTGGAAGCGTGAATTTCTACGAGTTTTTTGACAACATGAATAAACTTGATCACTGAGTACAAAGTTAGCTAATAGCCACAGGGGCTTGCTCCCGGTGTCTAATAGTTATATTTCTTAATCATTTACAGTGATAATAAAACAAGACATCCTTTATTAGTACTGTGTATTATTTCTTTTTTAAATAATTCATTATTACATGTTTTTTTTTTTAATTTTTTTATATGATTTTTAAAAATAAATAATTATTACACGCTTGGAGCAATTCCTTGTGAAATATCTTAAATTTTCAAAACCCAAAATCAATTTGTTCTTAAAATTATCTTTATCCATGAACACAAAGTACATATTACTTTTTTTTTTTTAAAATGGTGTTTATATTTCATGTGTTAAAAGAAACATCCCGCTACAGAATTCACGGGAATATAACTTTAAGTCATATATATATAGGTCCCTGCTTTTACATCATGAATAATTTTAATTAATTCTAAATGCAGCGGTAAGTATCTGTCAAAATCTAGTCGGTCTTCAATGATTGTTATTTCAAAATCGATTTTCAGAAGAACAGCCGATCAGACTAAACATGACATCTGACCAGATTTATACACATTGAGAAACGTGGTAAGATTAACAGATTATCAGTGTACAGTACACCGACTGGTCAGACAATAGGCCTTAATTAGGTGTCCCCCGTCCCCGGTTAACTAACAGGAAACTATACATACACAACGTATACACTGACAGATTTTGATGATCAATTATTTTTACAAACTTTAAATTTAACGCAAGCATATAACAAATTAAAAATTGAGATTCATCGTAAAAAGTCAATTATTTTGATACCCATTATGATACAAAAAGAATTGAAATTGAATATGATATTCTAAAAAGAGTTTTTGTAAACGTAATTAACAAGGTAACTCTTACGCGAGGATTGTCACTAAATTATTGAAACAGAAACCATTAATATCCGCAGTTTATTAAAAAAAAATAGTAGAATCTGTTTTTTCGTCTTTCTTTTTCGATGATAAATTTTTGTGTTTTATCTATAATTAATTTATTTTCAATCATGATTTAATGCTTACATGCATAAAATTTTCGAATAACAGAGCAAAGAACTCAATCACATTCCATCAATCTAAAAGCCGAACTCAATGTAGAAATATTAGGGATGTCAAATACCAGGCTGAAGCTAGCAGCCAATAACAGCAGCCATTAAGCGCGTAGAAGCTACATGTAGCAGCCAATAAGGAAATTCATCAAAGAACTGAGAGTACTCAGACGCAGTACTTATTTTAATAGGTTATTTTAGATAATTAATGGTTAATGATTACAAAATTAATGCAACAATTAATTACATAATAAATCAGATACTCAGAGGCAGTAAGGCTCACCTGAACATTTTTTTTTTCTTTTTTAAAACCGAAAAATAAGACATACATTACTTTATAATTTTTATCCAATTGAACAAACAAGCACTAGGAAATGGTTAACTCCTTCAGGAAGAATCCCTTTTCAACTCCTTCAGGGACCTCAAGATTATGACAAGGCCAATAAGCTAACCTGAAATTTGATTAATATATAACGATTGTAAACAGATATATAGCACACGTGTAAACTAGGTTGAAGTATGTTTCGAACATTATTACTGGGACAACTTAATGAATCTATTAGACTGTAAATTACGACTATCAGTAATAAGTGGTGGTGGTGCCACTAAGTGGTTCCAAATTTTGATATTACAGGCAGGTATTATACCCATGATTTATAAAGTGATCAATATTACTAGGGCAAGATAGAAGGGCCCTAGGATTATAATTTCCTGCTATCAGAAGGGGCTTTAGTGGTACCACCAGGTGGTGCCAAGTGCATGGGTCATATTTCAAGCAATCATTCGTCATCAATTATTGGTCAAGTTAAGGGTCTTAGAGGGAATCCCTTGACAACGTTTCAAAAGGTCCCAGGGACTGGAATGGGCCAGTTATCAACTATGAACTTTGCCTGTTTTGCATTTTATCCCAAAAACGCCATTAAAGATCAGCTATTACACGCCTAATCTTTGAAGTGTTCACGAAATGATTAATGGGGCAAGGTAGAGGGGCCCTAGGGCTATCATTTGCCACTTTCAGAATGGGGCTGTAGTGGCACCACCCAGTGGTGCCAAGTGCGTTTGGCATATTTCCAGCATTCATATTTTATTCATTGTCGGCCTCCTGAACAAACTAACACTGGGTGTGGGTAGGGGGCCTTAGGGGGTACCCCTTGACAGATTTCCGCAGGGTCGTAGGGGCTTGAAGGGTCCAGTTAGCTAACCTGAACTTTGATGTTTTTCATCATTGTAGATTGGGAAACGGGAAAAGGGCAGCTATTATACGCCTTATCCTTGAAGTGTTCATCAAATAATTATTGGGGCAAGGTAGAGGGGCCCTAGGGCTATCATTTGCCACTTTCAGAATCGGGCTGTAGTGGCACCACCCAGTGGTGCAAAGTGCGTGGGGCAT